TGCGGACTGAAAGGTCCCGGGGGTTTGTCCGGTCAAGGGCATGTACCTGGGTTGCGGGCACATCCTCAGTAGGAGATGTGCAGGAGGCAGCTGATCGATGTTTCTCTCTCATCGATATTTCTAACTCTCTGTCTCTCTCCCTTCCTCTCTGTAAAAAATCAATAAAATATATTTTAAAAAAGAAAAAAGAAGAATCAATGCTGAGCCCCTGCCCTGTTCCCAGCGGGAGGGGCATGAGTGTCCCTGGGCCACTGCGGTCGGACGGGGTCCTGGTGGGGGGCCGGGGAGCGGACGCCGGGTTTAAGTGACACTCCTCCAGATGGAGGGTTAATAGAGGACCTGCCTGTGGAAGACAAAGCTGTGAGCCACTGGCAGAAGCATTGCTTTCTCACTACCTGCTGGATCTGCAGAGATCAAAACAGGCCCTCCAGGAACTCACGCAGAACCACGGGAACAAGAGGTTTCAAAATTTAAAGAATGTCATTCTGTGTTGGATATTAATGCTTTGTTCACTGAAGCCAAACACGTTCATGCCAAGTTGGTAAATATAAGGAAGGAAATGCTGGTGCTTCACAAAAAGACATCAAAGTTAAAAAAAAAAAAAGAGCACTACACTGCAGCAGAAGAGGCAGAAAGAAGAGTTGGAAAGGGAACAGCAAGGAGAGGAGGAATTTGAAAGAGAAAGGCAGTTAACTGAAAAGGAGTGAGAAGTTGAATGTGTTTGTGTGTTCTTCCTGCCCCTATCTCTGTCCCACGTGCTTTGCCTTTAAGAAGACTTAAGAGCAGACTGACGTTAAGGTGGTGCCTCATACCGTCGTGTCCTGATTTGAAGTCCTTCCAGGAGTGCTGCCTCTAGTGTTCATTTTAGCCATTTGAGAAGCTGCTTCCCCCCCGCCCTCCCCCTTACGTAAAAGACAAAATGTCGCTTGGTTGGACATTTATGCGTAATTTTTCAATTTCTGTTTTACTTCATTTTAAAATTCAGTATTTTTGGCCTTGAGTCACATATGAACTGGATAATGGTTTGCTTGTTTTTTTTAATAGTCTAGACTTTAAAGGATTAAAAATTAGTATGAGCGTTTTAGTTTCTTAATAACTGGAATTAAGTTTCAGTTTCTTACTTTATGAAATGACGTGTCTCTTTTGGAATACAATGCTGGCTTTTGGCAAAAAATAAAATCAATGCCTTTTATACTTTAAGTGAATGGGAAAATAGCATTTAATTAATTTACCAAAGTTGGAATAATTTCTGCGTTTTTCAAAAAGCATGAGTGCTGGTACATCTGTATCAGAAATATGCAAGGATGTAGTCCCCCAAAAAAGAGAAAAATACCAGGAGAAAATTATCTGAGAAATCTTTGCTTAGTGGCTGGAAGTTAAGGACAGAAAGTACTTGGGCCTACGGGACAGGGGGCAAGTGAATTGTGACTCTCTCTTCTTTGTAGCCATCAGCCGGCACGGACCCGGCCAGAGCCTGGTATCTCGGTATTTCTTCCGGAGCAGAAGCTTCCCTTCCCGCCACTGAATGGATATGAGGTACCTGATTTTTACTTTTCGGTGGGGGGCTGTGGGAAGGTGCGGAAAAGCACTGTGCTACATGTGTGTGTATTTGTTTGAATGAAAGAATGAATCGCTTCTGTGAAACTCTGGGGTCAATATTTAAAGGTGGCGGTTAAATGGTGATGGTGTCACTTTCCCAGGGACGACTGCCCTGTCCCAGGAGCCTTGTCATCTCCAGAGTCCTGCCACACAGGCTCTCATGGGGCAGACCCTCTGACAAGCCTGTGAGATAGGTGTTAGTACCTTACTTTATGGGAGAATGACAGTGACTTGTCCACTACTTGGAGTTCAAAGGCTGGTTTCAAGGGGAGACACACGTCACCTGGTGGGGCTGGGGCGAGATTTCCTCAGTCGTTGAGCCTGCGCGTCATGCTCAAGCTCGGGGTACAGGCTGCCAGGGCACCTTCGATGGCCTTTAACTCGCCAGGTCACTGGACTAAGGCACGCACCCTGGGGGTCTCCCTTTACCTCTCTGCATAATGCTTCGTTAGCCACGTCAGCCTGAACAGACAGGCCCAGTGCCAACTTGTTCATCACTGGAATAAACTGCCAGACCGGGCAACCTAAACCAGCTTGTCCCACCTGCTGTCAGAGGCCTGGCAACGATACTCAATGGCATAGGGGGCCACACGTGTGGCCATTGCATGCTTTAAATATGTCCTGTTTCACATTTTTACATTTAAAATTTTTTTTTAGTTGTCAGAGATCAATAGCTATGGCTCGGAATATGCCAGAGTAAGTGGGTGTTTTAGAGCGACGATGAAACACGTCAAGATTGAGAAGATCAAGAAGCTCAAGAATCCACAGCTCTTGGATACTTTTCAAAGGTTGGTGGCCATTTGATCAAGTTTCTTCACAAAGAGTTTACAGGGGTTAGCTGAGGCCTAGCCTTTAAGATGTATAGTCCCTGGTTTCTTTCAGTAGTCAGCATTTCTTCGATCTCTAGTTCTTATTGTGTACACTGGAGCTTCTCTCTTTCAGCGTTAGTTTTGTAATCCAATGATTTCATGTGTCTGTCATTTAACAGTTTTCACCAATTTTGTTTCCTAAAGCTGTTTTCTTAATGTAAGTAGCTCCATTCTGAACGCTGGTGAGATGACATTTTAAGGCAATTAGGCTCTAGTTGGCGTTAATGTTGTTAACCAGTATGGGAGAGAAATGTTCTTGGCAATAAGTTTCACCTTTCCTGTGTTAGGAAAAAAATGGAGATGAAGGTCACCGAAAAGTACCTATTTTGTGCCACACACCGCGCTCACGTAGATTCTATCTGTGCGAATAATTTCGACTGGACCTTGCATGGGACTCCTGAAGGCACCTATGGAAAAGGTTTGTGCTGGAATAGAGAAGCCTGGGTCGTAGGTCATAACGCGGGCTGTGCTGTGTGTTGCTTCTGTTAGAGGTTGTGTGATTACTTTATATGAACCAGAAAGTCCAAACTTCCGTAGTCAAGGAGAGAAAATAGCTCACCTGCCTTAAGTGCCCAAATTAGAGTGGCAAGTTGACCTGGGACTTGATTGCCACACCTGATTCCTGCTCCTGTCTTCCATTTTCGGAAGAGAAAACTTCCCTTTTTTTCTGAAACGCCTTAATTCTCTGAGACTCTTGGATCTCATACACACTTGCAAGCTACACCACCTGTTGGCTATTACTCAGTTCTGGCCGTGGGTATCTCTGACCATGTCCATCCCGTAGAAGCCATAGGAAGTAGCCTCCACTTCCACGAAGAGGTTCTGATAAAGGATGGGAGCAGAGGCCTCTCCATTGCAGGCCATGCAGGGTCACCTGGGTACTGAAGTTACCCAGGTCTGTCCACACATGAAGTCTTTTCAGCTCTTTCTGTTTGCTCCTAACCTTCATGCAATTCTTAGAAACAAAACCAACAAAAAAAAACAAAGTCTCTCTCGTCTTAAAGGAACACATAATAGTTTATCAAGGTTCAAAGTGGGCTCAATTCATACAACTAAGATTAAAATCATACACGCACACCTCAAAAAAGCAAAAAGCCAGTTCGTCAACAAATATTTTTCATTGATTTTTTAAATGTTTTTATTGATTTTAGAGAGAGATGAAGGGAGAGGGGGAGAGAGAAACATCCACGTGAGAGAGAAATATCAGTCGGCTGCCTCCCGCACGCCCCCTACTGGGATTTGAGCCTGCAGCCTGGGCATGTGCCCTGACTAGGAATCAAACCAGCAACCTTTCGGTGCATGGGGCAATGCTCAAGCAACTGAACCACACCCTCCCGGGCAGTCAACAAATATTTTTGAGTACCTGCTATATGCTAGATGTTGGGAACACCGTGGTAAACAAGTTAGACATGCCCTCCCCTCCCCAATTATTTCACATGATTAATAAAATGATTGCATGTGCAGCTGCTGGGGAGGAAAAGAATAGGTCCTGTGGACACCTAACCCAGCTGGAGAGGTGTTCCCCAGGAAAGGCAGATAGGGGTTCCTCTGCCTCCTAGAGTAAGTCAGCATGTAGAGTCAGGGACAAGCGATGGAAAGTATGGCCACACGACAGATTTGGGACGTGACCCTAAGAGCATCGGAAGCTAATGAAGGGTTTAACTTGGTCTTATTCCGAGTGTTGTCTAGTTAACAAAGCCCATTATTTTTTGCAGTGTATTTCTAGAGCCCAGCCTGATCATCAGAAGCTGACTATGATTCTCTCTTTTTCCTTATATATTCCTTCCAAAGATTCTAATTCTCTCTGAGGCAAAGAATGTGTCCGGATAAATAAAATATGGTTATGTATCAAAAAAGTGCAAACAAACATAAGAAATAAAAAACACAGCACAGTGCCTTTGACAGTACTAACCCATTACATCAATTATACCGGTTGAATGTTAAAACCTGAATAAAAAGTAGATTTTAGAAAGTCAGCATATTGGGAAGTCTAAGTGTGACTTGTGGAACAAATCACATCCAGCTAGGGAAAAAAACAAAAAAAAGATTTGAGAAGAGTGTTTATGAAGATGAGACATGGTGGCAAAGGCTTGGGAGGCTATAGATAGTCTAAGATTTCTAGGACTAAAGCAGAAAAAAAAGGTCTTTACAAGTCATGATTGTATTTATGAAAAAATAAAAACTAAACCATATTAGCTTAAATGTGCATATCTGTATGTACATGCCTAGGAACAGGTGTGTAAGAGAATTCCCACCAAGCTGTTAACTGTTTGGGAAGGAGAGTGGGAGTGGAAATGGTAGGTCAGTATAGTCAGACTATCATTTAAAATATATATATATATATACTTTCTTTTTTTAAATATATTTTTATTGATTTCAGAGAGGGAGAGAGAGATAGAAACATCAATGATGAGAATCATTGATTGGCTGCCTCCTGCACTGGGGATTGAGCCTGCAACCCAGGTATGTGCCCTGACTGAGAATTGAATCATGACCTCCTGGTCCATAGGTTGATGCTCAACTACTGAACCACACTGGCTGGGCCGGACTGTCATTTTTTTTTTAATATAGTTTATTGATATTTTACAGAGAGGAAGGGAGAGAGATAGAGAGTTAGAAACATCGATGAGAGAGAAACATCGATCAGCTGCCTCCTGCACATCTCCCACTGGGGATGTGCCCGCAACCAAGGTACATGCCCTTGACCGGAATCGAACCTGGGACCTTTCAGTCCGCAGGCTGACGCTGTATCCACTGAGCCAAATTGGTTTCGGCTGGACTGTCATTTTTAACTCTAAATATTGTTGAACATCATTTACCCAGAATACCCAGTAGCGTACCTATTCTCGATAAACAATATTTCATGAATTCAAACATCTGAATTATTAAAAAAAAGCAAAAAATCATAAACATTTGCAAAAAAGTATTTAACATTTATTACTATAAATACTACAAATTCATTTTACCTATTACTTTTTGCATAGAAATCAGACTTTTCAGTATATACTCATTTCATTTAAACAGGCAGAAAAGGCCCTAGCTGGTTTGGCTCAGTGGATTGAGCGTCGGCCTGCGGACTGAAGGGTGGGTCCTGTGTTCAATGCCGGTCAAGGGTACATGCCTGGATTGCAGGAGTGATCCCCAGTCGGGGGGCGTGCAGGAGCAGCTGATCAATGATTGTCTCTCATCATTGATGTTTCCATCTCTCTCTCTCTTCCCTTCCTCTTTGAAATCGATAAAAATATTTTAAAAAATAAATAATATAAAAGGGCAGAAAAGCATGTGGCATTGATAAAAATAAAAATAGGAATATTTTATTTGTTAGGAACTTGTTGATCTGCTGAGTACGGAAACCTCAGTGATTATCAGAGGGTGTTTTAGAGTTGAGGATGAGGAATCAACTGTCTTTGAAAAGCTCTGCCAGGGTTAATGGCTTGCCATTCTATGCCTCTTCCTGTCACATTTTTCACGACCTTACCATCAGTAGTAAATGACCTGTGTCCCTTACAATATTAAATGGCCTTTGCTAGAATATCTTTAGTTCATCAGTTATAATTCAACTCACCCTGCATGAATTGCATCATTGTGATATCTCCACTTGGTCATTGTACCCAGTGACTCTCACCATCACAGTGAGCCCTGCACACTAGCAAATGTTTCTGTTATTCCAGTAGGAGTATGCACTGTATTCAAGTTTACTTGTATAATAAACACTCTTTAAATACAAAGGAAAGCCCTAACCGGTTTGGCTCAGTGGATAGAGCGTCAGCCTGCGGACTCTAGGGTCCCAGGTTCGATTCCGGTCAAGGGCATGTACCTTCGTTGTGGGCACAACCCCAGTAGGGAGTGTGCAGGAGGCAGCTGATTGATGTTTCTCTCTATCCCTCTCCCTTCCTCTCTGTAAAAAAATCAATAAAATATATTTTAAAAATAAAAATAAATACAAAGGAAAGCTTGTAAGTATCAGTAAGGTATTGTTGACATATACTTAGTCCAGTGACTTTTTTCAAACTTTTTCGTGTCATGGCACACACAAACTAATTGCTAAAATTCTTTGGCACACCAAAAAAAAAGAAAAGTATAATTTTGATTCATCCACACGAGACAGCTATGGTTGTGTTGGCTGCTGTTGTTTTGTTATTTAATGATCTAAGGGGGAAAAGGTCAGCACCCCTGACTAAATAGTCAGGTATTGAATGTTTTAAAAATTCTTGCAGCATACTGGTTGAAAATGGCAGGCTTAGCCAATGCCTGTCATCTAATTATGTGTAAATAATCTTATAAACTACATACTTCCTTTTATAATAATTCTTAACCTTTTTTTCTTATGATTTCTAGGAAACTACTTTACAAAAGATGCCATTACTGCCCATAAAAACTTCCAGTCTGATCCCAAAAACATCGTTATGTTTTTTGCCCGAGTCCTGGTCAGAGATGTTATTGAAGGAAAGAGGAGTTACACAAGCCCTCCTCCACCGTACGACAGCTGTGTGGATTCAAGGTTGAATCCTTCCATTTTTGTCATCTTTCAGAAAAATCAGATTTACCCAGAATATGTGATTGAATATACCGAAGCAGATAAAGCCTGCGTGATTAGTTAGAAATGATGAGGACACCATCACCAAGGACGCCATAGCCATTCCATCCACTTATAAAACCCGATTGTCGCCGATAACTGTTAAACTTTTTTACATTTTCTCGATTACTTATCAAATGCCTTAGGTCAGTGGTTCCCAAACTTTGTTGCACATGTGAATCATCTGGAAACACAAACATAACAAACAAAAATCCCAGTGTTCAGAATGCATCCCCTTCCAACTAAATCACTGTTTCTGCGGCCGAGAGCCAGGCAGCCGTGTGTGTCGTAAACTTTGGGAACCACTACCTTAGACGTAACTGTAAAGAACGATTTCTAATACTACTGTGATTGCAGCAACTACTGCCTCTCCCAGATACTCTTACAGTTTTACTGTATGGCACGGTTTTGCTTTGGTTAAATTGAAAAAAAACTTAATTTGGGAACTTTGAGAGAAATCTAAAAATGCCTATTGAAATAAGCACATAAGACAGTACAGCCTTGGATAATGATTGTGAAAAGTTGGGGGAGGGGTAAAGGTAATTTAAATGCCATTACAGACACAGCCTGCATACCGTACCATTGCAGTGAAACTGATGTGGGGCATACATTTCGTTATCTCTACGTTTATTTAGAGGGCCCCATCCAGGTCGACTCTGGAATTCATAAAAAAGAGTTGCCGAGTGTGGCTCAGAGAGAAGTACCAACTCGAGTTAAGGGCCCGTTTGAGCTCTTAATATCATTATGTCAAAGTAGACACTTAGGTTCTGATCAATATGATTCCAGAGAAGGCTTTTCTCAGGTTGGACTTTCATGAGGTGTGTGTATTTTGGGCGCACTGGGGCGCAGTCACCCGAGTCACACAGGCATGACTGATAAACTGGAGGGCTCCTATAGTCGTTCGCTGTGGCAGATGAGGCTCACCGAGGAAGTAGGAGCGGGGCCCTCCTGGTGCAGGATGGGCCCCCTAAGGAGACAGGATTTGTTTCCTGGTGAGCACAGAATCAGAACTAATAGGATAATGCCTCAGACAGGCTTTGCACCTGCAAGAGGCTTTTATTTTTTTCCCTAATGTAACGAAATGTATGGAATTGTAGTGCAGTCAGTTTTTAGAGCAATTAAGCTGCCTGGACCAAGTTCCTTATTATGAGTCAGGTTTTTCCTTTCAATTTTCCTTTTCAAACATTCCATCCCAATCTCCAAACATTCCTTATAGTTCCTTCCAGCAGACATGTTATAAAAACTAATTAGCATTTGAGGTTTTATATGTCAGATTTTTAATCAGTGCACAGCCTGCTACAATTCTTTGGCTTAAAGGATCCACCAGTAACAAATGTTTAGAGGACTTTTTAGCGTGAAGTTGTTTTCTGGGAGGCTTGCCACAAATACTCTTGTTTACTTCTTCCTTTCTCATGGTAGTTTCCGTTCTGGAGTTTTCATTTCCTGATCTTGACCTTCAATGTTGCAGAGATCCAACTTACACAACTCTCTCCGACCGCCCATTAGACATCTCTAGTGGGATATTTCACAGGCATCTCTGCTTTACCAGGTACAAAACGGGATTCTGGCTCTGCCTCCCTCAGATGAACCAGTTCCTCCCCAGGGTTCTGTATGTAAGTACGTGGTATCACCATCCACACATCCGCTCAAACAGCAATCCACAAGTTGCCCTGGACCCCCTCCCCCTACCTTCCCCTGAGCATCTAAGCTGTTCTCAAGTTCTGTTTTCCCTCTTAAATACCTTGTTCTCCTTCTACATTGTTCTTTATTTGGCAGCAAGAATGGCCATATTTTTAAATGTTTTACTTAATAATCATCATCTTTCAAAACACAAATCTGATCATGCCTTTAGAGTAAAGTTCAAGATCATTATCGTGGCCCCACATGATCTCTCCCTTCCCTACCCTCCATCATTTATTTTCTCCCACACAGCCACTCTGGCTTTCCTCCAGTCCTTTGGGATCTTTCACATAGCTCATTGTCTTCAATTAGCATCGCTGCCTTCTTTTTAAATGGCAGATACTTTGTAACGTCCACATTATTATCCTCAAAATGCAATTTAGTGGTAATGTACTCTATCTACCTAGATACAATTTTAGAAATACATTTAAAATTAAGTAATATTAATATAAAAGGGAAGTTAAAAATACATAACTTGGATACGACTATACTAGAAGACCTAATTAAGTACTCAGATGTTTACATCTATTTAGAATGAATAAGCAGGTAGGAGATTAGAAGCCATTTTGTACCAAGAAGTATGGGAAAATGAAACAGCAGGGATACAAGTGGACATTAGAATAAAAACTAGTGACATAATAACTTACTTGCATATGCTGATAATGACACCTTAATTGATGTGGATATTTTTTAAAAATATATATTTCTTTATTGATTTCAGAGAGGAAGGGAGAAGGAGAGAGAGATAGAAACATCAATCATTGATTGGCTGCCTCCTGCATGCCCCCTAACGGGCTCGATCCCCATTAGGGGGCATGCAGGAGCCAGCCGATCAATGATTCTCTCTCATCATTGATGTTTCTATATCCCTCTTCCTTCCTTTCTGAATTTCACTATGTAAATGCTCCGGCATGACTACGGTATACGACATCATGAAATAGATATTTATTCCTGCTTTGAGTGAATAGCTTTGGATTTAGGAGTCGATCAGAGGCTACTTCCTATAAAGAAGTACAGAAAAATGAAAGATAAGACACTAGACAGTACTCACTAGAATGAAGACCAGTGATAATAGACCATGTACCTTATCTGTGTATGGT